GGAGGGAGAGCGCTCTGTCTCCGAGCACTCACTACAGTGGGGGGGTGGTTTGAAACGGTGCCAACGGTGCTGAGCTCTGTTGTCGAGGTTACTTTTTCGTGTACTGTGCAAGGTGGGTTCTGTTCTGTTTAACATGAAGACACTGAACTGTCGAGTGGTAAATGACAAGGTCAGCAGCTAGGTTCCTGCTCTAGCAATCTTAGTACTACAACTTTTTAATTAACTTTTTGACAATTTCATACATAGATCTGTGACAATACCGCCATCATCCTTTTATCATAGATCTGTGACAATACCTCCATCATCCTTTTATCCCTTCTATTTCTGCCGACCCCTTTCTTCTTTCCAGCTCATCCCCCATACTCACACTCAGTGGGGGAAAATCCCAATCTTACGTACTACAATTTTTAGTGCCTATTTCTTTTGTAAAATATTGCCTGTAAGAGATCCACGGTAAAAGGAAAAGCATGTTTTATCTCTGACAAAGTGTGAGCACTGTGAGAAAAGACATTTCCCGTGTGGGATCCTTATTTTCATTGTCTCCGCACGGTTGGAAAGAGAACGCAGCGTGTGGTCAGGAGTGCTGGTGTTATGAATGCCTTTCTCCTCTGTGCAGGTGCCGCGACAGTCCCACTCTTCACTGCACACATGTCACCCACCAAGATGTCTGTGACGCTGCCCTCGGCGAACCTCGAGGACGGCTCTCAGTCCTTGAGCACCAGCATGCAGGCCGACGGGGAGTCCTCGGGGACAGATACCTTCTGAACAGGAAGAACAAGCACAGCGTTGGTGAAGACAGGCCACTTCGCTTCAGACCGTTCCCATAGACTGTTTTGCCTTTGAGCATATTTCTTGGGGGGAAACCATTTTTAATGTTTTGTTAAAATAAAAGTGTTCTTTGAATATTTGGTAAGGCTTTTGAATAAAGTCAATGTAGCTCACTGAGTCTGGCTCTGAGTTGTTTCTTAGAAGCCTGGGGCGGCTTGGAACAGTGAGAGAGCACAGCTTTTGACTGGAGAATTTATCTTATAGGTGTAATTGTAAACTTACAAAGTTCACAGTTATTCATTTTAACATTTTTTTTTTTTTTTTTTTTTTTTTTTTTTTT